GGAGGAGGAGGAGGAGAGAATCTGAAGAGATCTACCAGCCATCTCCACATCAGGTCATGCCAGAGGCCAACGAAGGTGAAGATGACCCAGACGTTCCAGAACTAAAAGGAGGCAAGAGGAGCGGAGGAGACGAGGAACAGAAAGGGGAGGAAGAAGAGAGGAGCGAGGAGGAGAGGAATAGGAGAGGAGAAGAGAGAGGAGAAGAGAGAGGAGAAGAGAGAGGAGAAGAGAGGGATACGAGATGAGATGAGATGAGATGAGAGGAGAGGAGAGGAGAGGAGAGGAGAGGAGAGGAGAGGAGAGGAGAGGAGAGGAGAGGATGAGGAAGAGAGGATAGGATAGGAAAGAATTCTTCAGTACGCTGGCCCTTCTCTTGTCTCCCTGACTTGCCTGCGTTTTCCTCCCTCCCAGTGGGATGTACATGTAGCGGATGATCCAGGCGTTGAGAGACGCGTGCCATTGTCGCCAGAAACCCTAAGCAGAAGGAGGGTAAACTAGGAGAAGGAGGAGAAGGATGATGATGACGAGGGAGAGGAGGAGGCAGAGGAGGCAGAGGAGGTGGTGGTGGTGGTGGAGGAGGAGGTGGTGGAGGCAGGAGAGGGGTTTGGAGGGATGGCTAGGGAGGAAGGGATGGAAAGGAGGAGCAGGAGAAATAGGTCAGGTAGGAGGAGGAGTACGCTGAAGGAGTAATTGTTGTTGACGCATCTCTTCATATTCTCTGGGCAATCTATCCCATCCAGCAGCGCCCAGCAACGGAAAAAACGCCAGATGCTGAGAAATTTCATGTACATGAACTGCTTTCCTCGTCAGATGCAGGAGGAATAGAGAGGGCAGAAGAAGAGGGAGGCAGATGGGGAGGGAGAGGGGAGCAAGGAGGAAAGGAGGAGGACGAAGGGGGGGAAGAAGGGAAGGAGAACGGGAAGAGGATGAGGATGTGGGGTAAATGTTGTCGATATGGATGATGAAGTTGTTGTTGTTGATGATGATGATAATGCTGATGTTGATGTTTGTATTGGTGTTGGTGGTAGTAATGAAATAGAAGCAAGAAGGGGAGGTGAGGATCAGTATCTAGCCATGACAACAGGTGGAGGACAAAAATGGCAGTGAAAGGAATGACGAGGAGACAAGCGAGCGATATGGGGATGTAGAGATAATTTCCTGTAGTGTGAAGAACCCTCCCACCGCTACCTCCCATCCAGGCATGTAGTCTCCCTGCTCCACGTGTCACAGCCGGTCTCAATCATATGTGGGGCCGCCGACCTCAATCATGTACCAAGTCCTGTTGTTGTTGATGCTGACGTACATGTACAGGTGAAGCATGACCTCGACTAAAAGGATGTAGAGGAAAGTCCGGGCGAGCATGAAGACAGTTGCCCTTGTTGTGAGAGACTGCCGGAGACATCAGGTCAAGTTTGAATTGTCAAGATGTGATGCAAGATGTTAAAACCTTCTGCGGGGATTTCAGCCCTTCCAACCAAGTCATGTAAGGGGCGATGGGGCCGGCGATGTAGAGGGGCATGTACAGTACGTAGGCCAAGAAGTTGGAAAGAGAGAAGTTTTCTGCAGGCTCTTCATCATCAGCGAAAGTGAACAGGAGCGAGTCAGACCTTGGGTGTAGAGGTGAAGGTTAGTTTGTTTGGGAGACAACATCTGAAAACAATGCCGTCACCACCAATCTCCACGTCGCTGCCCTCACGTGCTGATTTTGCGACCAGTACAACTCAGTGTTGAACGAGATGAGCCGCAACATGCTGAGATTGAATTGAGTCTGCCAACTTCGCAAGAAAGAGATCAAACTCAGTTTGGAGGGTGAGGGCAGTTGGGGGCTGGCAGGGGGGAAGGGGAGAGGAGCGAACCAAGGAAAAGAGGCAAAGAGCAGAGACGGTGAGATGGGGAGGCGGAGGCGGAGAGCATGAAGGAGAAGGCCAGGATACGAGGGAGGACGCGAGGGAGAAGGTAAGAAGGCAGGCAGGCGACGGGGGGGGGGGGGAGGGAAGGGCAAAGGAAGGGCGGGAAGAGAGGGGCGGATGGATGGATGGGTTGATGGAATGATTGAGGGAGGGAGGGAGGGAGGGAAGGAGGGAG